TTCAGGATTATGTACTTGTAGGGTAATCTAGTGTACGCATATGGTGCTGATCTTATCTCCTACTTCTAGTAGCATACTTTAGGACGGGATTATGTACTTGTAGGGTAATCTAGTGTAAGAATATGGTGCTGATCTTATCTCCCACTTCTAGTAGGATACTTTAGGACTAACCACCTGTATCAACACATTTTACACCTCTAGTGGCATTTCATCGAACTTTCCGCCCTCTTGCCCCACACACGGAACTATGACCTCACATGACCTCCCCTACCTCAAAGGATGGCCCCGCTAGGTGGTGCTCTATGTTTTCCCTCCCCTTTAGGCCTAGAGTACCGGCATCCTATAGGACCAGGTTAAGAGAGTTAAGTACTAAAAACAAGTACCTTGTCACAGTAATGCTTAAGGCAATATAGAAACGCTATGACCAATATTGACTGATAATAGTTGTAGATGGAAAAATCAGAATCGCTGGTAAAACAACTTGTTATAATCCTGTTTTGTATCGCAAAATTACACATTAATGATACGTTAAGACCAAATACGCAAGAACAAATCCAAAAATTAAGAACTAACACTACATATTTAAGAGCAACAATTAAATTATGACACTTTAATTTTAGTAATTCAGGTTATTTAATCACATTATGTTTGAAAATATGGTTCTTCAAGTATGTATCATGATTATTAAATGAAAGAAATTGTGCTGTTTAGTAAGTTCAAATATTTAATATTCACATTTATTTTACTTATCGCGGATTGTTTGCATTTTCTAAGCAAACGTACATTTTCAAAGGGTAGTCTATAATTGATGTTTTTTATCATAATTATATACTTGTTTATTATATATATATTATTATTATTATTTAACTCCCCAACTACATAGAATGATTATTGCTCGTATTGTATTTAGTTATTGTTCTTTTTTTAGGGGGGGCGATCTCGGTTTCTGTTTCTTTTACACTTAATAATTTAGTTGTTTGTTTGCTCACCTGAACGAGGTCTTATGTACAAACTGGACTAAACGACTAGGTCATATCCATTCCAAATCTTAAATTGCAGATCAAAGGGACGGCACCTTGTTGGCAGCGTCTGCCGCTTCAAGTAGCTACTTTTTAACCGAATAGCAGGATTGAATATCATTATTATAACGTACCTAAAGCTGAAAGTGTAAAACAAAGGTGGTAGTATCACGTCTCGAACCCGAGATAGTCGGATGTTCAGTCCAATATGCTAACCAGAAGGCCACGCTCCGGTCATTAATTTATTTAGTCGTCACGCTCTTTTCATTGACGTTCATATGATTCATGTAGCTAAGTTACAGAAAATGGCATACTATATTTATAGTGTTAATGATTGACAATTAACTATTTACCGCACAAAAATTAGCGTAACAAGATACGAAACACACGGATCCGGGTTCGAGTCGCGATGCTGCTGAACAAGCTACAAACTCTCAGCTGTGAGGAGCTATAACCAGGGCCGCATTAACCGTGGCGCATTTGCGCCAGTGCCCTAAGCGGTGAGAGGTCCCTACTGACAATCCGGACCGTCAGTTTAACTCTCTATTTTTCGATAAATCTTCATATTTTACCTGTTGTTTGTTCTATTCTTACTCAATGCAGACTAGATCAATTTGACCGACATCGTAACCACCATAAAAAATACAAAATAAATCAAAATTACCATTTTCTCTTTCTAGAATTACTTCAAATTGTAGCAGGAAAGAACATTTCTTTACACTAAATAGTCTAATATTTTTTAATTTTATACAGCTGTTTATAATTAAAGTTTATTGTTTAATTGCTTTTTGGACCGTCATTTTAAAAATTCCCGCCATAAGAAGTGTTAAAATATGCGATAATATGAAGCAAATGTTATACTAACCAAGTTACATACAGCTCGTGGTACTCGGGAGCTATTAGTCCTAGCGAGGGTACCTTGTAGAAATATTTTATTATTATTATCATTATTTTTATCTATATTACCTAATCTAACCTTATCTAGCCAAAAAGTTTCTAAGTTTTACATTTTTAGTTATTTTTATAATAATGACTAAATAATAGATAAGAAAAACAGGAAATATATCACTTACTTATCTGTGTAGTTGTTTTTTTGTTGTTGATTTTTGCTGCCGACCGTCCTTCTATGTTAGTCCTACTACCTTACCTTAATGCTACTAGTCCACAAAATATATTTTAAAATAACTAATGCAGGGAATAACACAGAATAATTTCATGTGAACAGCTGAGAAACTTGTCTTTCTGTGAGAAATTTTCTGGCTCGCTAATCATGTAATTTGAGCAGTTAGAAATTCAACATGTTGTACAAGTAAATAATAAATATTATTATAATAGTTTAATTTTAATATATCATCCTTAAACGTTACATGCATCATATTTTAATATACTTCGAAGAATTAGCTCATATTATGTAAATAGCTTAATATGTATTAATTATAGTTAACTTTATGTTTACTTGTACCCTATTCAAAAGGCCTCAAAACAATAAGTGCGCCAGGGCCTCAAATGCCTTAATTGGGTTCGGCTATAGCAATTACTGTTAATCCCGTGTAGGGGACGGACTTTGCTGGCTGGTTGCTCTCTCTCTGTTTTCCTAGTTATGTGTGAAATTGAATACTGAAAACACCTACAAGTCAGTCAATTTCGCTTGTACTCCCTTTCTTATGAAGAAAAATACACCAATAGTTACGTTATCCTGTAAGAAATAAACGAAAAAGACGAGAAGAATACACAACAAAAGTCGTTTATTACGCAATATGATTATTTACAAGTACATGAAACAAGATATGCATGAAATCCTATTTTACTTTGCATGATTTAATAAAAGCACTCTATGCTTAAATATACACTAAAAATAACTATACCTAAACTTCTGTTTACACTACGTAATTATTGACATGAAATATTTGAAATGCATAATTCCTTTACGAAGAGCAACACATAAAATCATGGCTAATACAAAAACATCATCATTTAAACATTAAATGTCAATTCACTTTTCGATTGTGGCCTGGTGATTCGGGCACTCGATTCATAATCTGCAAATCTCGGCTTCGAAAACCCATCACCGAACATGTACATCCTTTCAGTCATGGAGGCATTATAATGTGATGGTCAATCCCACTATTTGTTGGTAAAATATTGACCCAAGAGTTGATGTTGACTAGCTGCCTTCCTTCTAGACTATCCCTATTAAATTATGGTTGGCTAGCGCAGACTGCCCTCGAGTAGTTTTGCGCGAAATTCAAAAATAAACAAACTTTCTAATTGGCTAGCATTAGAATCAGGTTTACCAGATAGGTTTTTAAGATTTCCTAGAAATATTAAGTGTTAAAACTCATCACATAATTGAAAAACCTACACTTGTTGGTTCATCGTCATCTTGTTGATTTGTTTTAAGTTCACGTCTGCTTCCTTTTCAGGACTTCAAGTATTATTTACACACGAGTACACAGTAGTCTGTGGAACTTGAATATATTTATTCACAGAAAGAGTAGATAAAGTGATATACTAAATAATAACGTTTAAGTGAAGTAAGTTAATCTTGGAGCCGAAAAACATTAAATTTACTGGGCGTTAAAATATAATACTAGACCACCTGTAGAGACACTGACTGTAAAACTTCTATGCACTTCTTTTAATAATAGTTCAAAAACCAATGGATTTTGAGAAGCGTCGTGGCATTTATTTTGAAAACATGAATTTGATTTAAACAATTATAATAAAATCTTCATTTCATAAGGAAAAGTAGGATCAATATAGCATAACGTTTTGGGCTGTTCCATCCTCTAATCCAGGGGTTTCCAAACTACGCCCGCCAACAGTTTATTAAAGTAATAGTATAATTTTTTAATATTATAAAAACAAAAGCTTTCCACGCAGGTTTGCACGAGATATTTTTTCTGACCTGAAACTACAGTTCAAAGAGCGTTTTTCTGATCTTGATGCGAGTGCAACAGAAATAAGGATCTTCCAAAACCCATCTGACTGTGTCATTGATGAACTGCCATCTGAAGTTCAAATGGAAGTGATTGATCTGCAATCCAACGACATGTTGAAGGACAAATACAAAGAAGGGAAACTGATGGAGTTTTATAAATGCTTTCCAAGTGATCAATATGCTCACGGATTCATTTCAGTTTTGGCACTAAATTTTTAAAGATGAAGTAGTGAAATCTAGTTACAGATCAGCCTTATCTGATGAGCATTTGCAATCACTGGGAATCTCAATTAAGTGTAACTTTGTCAGAAAAGCACCAGTTTCGTGCTTCTCACTAATGCTAAAAAAAAGACGACTGTGCTTCTTAAATATTTTCAATATGTGCTCTTATGAGACATACATTAGTGATGTTGTATTCTGATCATGTGCGCATCCCTACTTAATTTTACCACGACCCCTCCAGCCCGTGAAGCCTAAAAAGATCTACCTCCCGGCCCTTGTACAAAAAAAGTTTGGAGACCCTTGCTCTAAACTAAAACTATTAATAAATAAACTTTATAGAAATCTTAAAACCAGCCCTTATCATTCATATACTTATCACGCTTTTTCATAAAACTTTATAAATTTACTGCCTTCACAACATCCGAAGGCAACCCATTCCAAAGGCCAACCACCTTGTTAAAAAATAAAACTCAGCTGAAGATGACTCCTACCCTGCCAAAATTTATACTTGTGTCCCCTAGTCCTACTATTCTCACTGTTAAATATAAAAAAAGATGATACATATATACACTATCAATTCCCCTTACAATCTTAAGCACCGCAATCAGATCCACCCTAACTCTTCTTTTTTTCAAGAGAAAACAATTGAAGAAATTTCAACCTCTCCTTGTATGACAAACCCTCCATCCCAGGCACCATTCTAGTAACCCTTTCCAACAAATCAAAGTATTTTCCAAGGTAAACAGCCCAAGACTGAACACAATAGTCTAAATGTGGCCGAACCAGTGACCAATACAATGAAATTATAACCTATTTAGACCTGTATTCAATGTTTCTGTAAATACAACCTAAATCCTGTTTGCCCCACCACAAGCAACAGCATACTGCTTAGATGGCTTTAGAGACTGATCGACTATTACACCAAGATCCCTTTCTTTCATGACATTGTTAAGGTTATTCCCATCCAAATTATGATAACCCACATGCATTATTTTGCATTTATTATAATTAAAACCCATCTGCCATTTATTTGCCCAACTCAGTAAATGACCTAAATCCTTTTGTAAATCAGCAGCATCCTCTCCACAGCTAGCAACACCCAAGACCTTAATATCATCTGCAAATTTAAGTAATTTATTGACTATCCCGTCATCTATGTCATTGATGTAAATCAAAAAGAGCAAAGGTCCTAAGACTGAGCCCTGAGGTACCACACGTGTGACATTAATCCAGTTTGACTGAACTCCATTTGTTACAACCCTCCACTTTCTTCTATCCAGCCGCTCTTCTATCCAATTTGCTAACTTATCCCCCACACCTATAGAGCTAATTTTTTTACAAGCCTTTTATGTGGCACCTTGTGAAATGCTTACTAAAAATCCAGATACACCAAATCTACACCCTTACCCTAAATAAGCAGTAACCTTTTAAGAAAATGTTAAAAGATTTGTAAGGCAAGATTTTCCCTTAGTGAAACCATGTTGACTATCCAATAAAATTCTAAACTTTTTTAAATGACTTTGCAAAGCATCTTTTAACAGACTTTCCAAAATGTTTTTCCACAAATGATGTAAGACTAATGGATTAAGATGCAGAAGTCATACATTTTGAAACTAATACAGTATCATAAATGTGTACAGTGTTAAGATACTAATAAGGTATGAGAAACAAAATAAAAGAAACAGGGAAATATTTAAATAATATAGTTAATTTTTATAAGTAGTTGACAGTAAAGAAATATTTCCTATATGAAATATTTTGCTTTAATACTGGCCTTATGTATAAAGAATTGTTCCATATCTATTACACTGTGAATTTATAAAGAATATAGTGACTCACTTGAGCTCAGTTAATAATTCTACAGTCTTTCTCATTCTTTTCTCTTTTCAGCCATGTTAATGACATCGATCTTTTCTCTGGAGGTTTAACAGAAACTCCCCTTCATGGTGGGCTGGTGGGACCAACATTTGGTTGTATTTTTGGCCTTCAGTTTCAATTGCTTAAGAAATGTGATCGTTTCTGGTATGAAAGCAACAACCCTTTGGTTCGATTTACAGAAGGTTAGTACAAATCTTAATGTTAAAAATTAATGTGTTTCAGCTAATACCATATTTCAAATTTTTAATGTTCAATTTTTTGCATGTGTTAGAGGAAATTCATAACTTAAAATTTTAATAGAATATTTGTTCTTTCATTTTAAGAGTTAGAATTAGTTTAAAGCAACATATCAAAATTTAAAACTCTTATTACTTTATTTGAAATTTAGTCTGGAAAGTTCCTTTTTGAAATAATAGTGAGAGAAAGGTATGAAACAATTCCATTTTCGTTTAATTTTGATTATTTATTATACTGATTAGTGATTAATTAGTTATTTGCTTATTTTTTTCTAGCACAATTGACTCAAATACGAAAGGTTACCCTTGCTAAGGTCATTTGTGACAACACTGACACAGTTGATACTATTCAGCGGTCAGCTTTTGATTTGCCTGATCCATTCTTGTAAGTTCTTTTTTCTAATTATGTTAATATGGCTCTTACACATTTCTTTTAATAAGCTTACAAAAAACATTTTCATAGCATGTTTTGTCATATTCTTTAGTGAAAATGTAAATAGTGGAAATATAGTAGGAGTACTGCTTTGGAGAAGTCTCCAGATTTATGAAAGTGATGAAAATGTCTTCTGAGACATTTTAAAATCCAACTTCTTGCACTTCTTTAGGTTACATTATTCTGAAAAAAAATCTTATGTTTGATATTGATGTTTTAAATGTTGTGTAATCCATAAATATACAGCCAATTAAGTCAGAAAAGAGGCATATAGAAAACAAACTTTTTATATAAAAGTAGCACATTGTCATTGTAATATGTATTATATATTATTAGTTAGATCAAATTAAATAGCTGTTTTCTTTATGCATCTAGTTAAAAATTATCAGACAATAGAGTGAAAGTAATTAAGTAAACAAGATTAGTAGAAAGGGAATTTTCATTTGTATGAAAAAAAAACAATAGGGGTCAGTGTGAAAAGTATTAATATTGTTGGATCTTTACAATCTTGTATAGTATCTTAGTAATATAAGTTTAAATTACTTGTTAAGAAAATGTGTGTATATATATATATATATATGTATAGGAAGTGTTTTTGATAACTGTGCTATAATGAACCCTTTATTCTACACTAAAAATACTTGGAAATTAATATCAGAATATTGAAAGACAAAACAAAGTATTTATTTTAGCTTTCACTAATAGAACAGGATGTACTCACAGTTCAAAAATGTTTGGCCTGAACTTTTGCAAGCAACATACTTAAAACTTAAAAAATTTAAAACTCAACAAATCACCTTGGCACAACTTCAACAATATAACAATGACACAACAAGTTAGGAAAAGTAACCGGAAAGGAAAACTTAACTTTGAATTAACTAAAAAAATCTGTTTGATAATATAACACAAATTTTCTGATTTATTATAACTCACAACACTTTTAACTGAGTTTTGAGCAATATCCAATCTGTCCTCTGTGTTCTTGTTCTAGAGTGTCTCACATATAAGTCGTCAGTTATTTTTGCTTTTATTTTATTAGCTGCTGCTACTTGACAAAATTATATGATTAAAACATGGAAAGTTATTGGTTATTTGACAAAACATCTGTTCAACTTATTTACATAGAGAGACAAATTAAGTTATATATGTCCATGTACTACAGCAATCCAGACAAAAGCACAGCAGCACCTGGTGTCCATCATTTTGTCCCACTATGTAAATAGTATTAATCTAGTAACTCTAACTAGTTGTGAGCTGGCATTATGCATAAACAAACTCAAGAGAAAGTTCAACTAAATTGTATAGAAGAAGGTCTGTAAATTTTGTAAATTTGAACATAATAATAATTAAGGAATACCACTTCACAGTGTCTCTGTACAATATTAAATTTATCTTTATAATTTTTGAAGAAGTAATTTATGTAACAAATAGAGGAAGTTATTGATAATTTGTTTCCATGTAATTACTGGTCTAGGAGCTGCTACTTTTACTCTGATTGAACTCTTTAACCACTATATATAGTTGTGTATTTTGATTAGTTATAAATGTAATGAGGTTTAAGGTGTTCAGTGGTCAAAAATAAACCATTAGATATGAAAAAAAGTAGAATATCTGACAATGATCACCTTACGTATAAAAAAAATAGCAAATAAAATTAAAAAAGTCAGCTAGACTTATAAAAGGGAGACTTATGTAAAAACATGTTTGAAGAATAAGTGGTATCATTTTTGTCAATTGTAAGAGAAGACAATATTGGCAAATGTATGCAATTAGAGGGGGGTGTCTATAAGTGAGAAGAGTAGTATGTATATATATGTTGAATGCTCAGATAGGGCTTATTACAAATCTTATGATTTTTTATATTAATTGCTTCGTGTACCACTGACATTAACTCCACATACCAACAGTGGTATGTGTATCACACTTTGAGAATCCCTGGATTATAGTAGTGTAAAAGTTGGTTGTGAGTTCTGTTTCCTAACTGGTTATCAGTTCAAAATTAAAGAAAATTCAGACAGTAGAGCAGAGAATTCTTGTGTAGCTTTACACAAAGTGAAAAACTCAACTCAAACAAATTTCTAAATAAAAGAGACCCTTATCTAGAAACTGTTTCTCAGTTAATTTACATATTTTATAATCCATTAACACTTTATACAAAGAGATCTATTTTTAATTTTATGACGTTCTTTTTTTATGTAAATTAAGTTTTGTTTTACTATAAACTTACTGTATGCTTTCTAACAGATCAACTTGCATGTTTCGATTCTATACAGGTTTTTAATCAGATAGACTTCTTAGGTTTAATTGAAAGAGTAAAGTATATTCTTTCCATTTTATTCTTGAATTTTAAAATTGTTATCAAACATTTGATATGCAATGATATTGGTATTTTCTTCTTGTGGAACAAAATTTTATTAGGAAATGCTATTGAAAAAGCAGGCTTTATATTTCTAGAGAGCCTTAACTGAAACTAAAGTACTTTCTAAACAAGTTGATGTTTAAACTCATTTCCACTCTTGTTGACTTTTTAGGTTACTAAGTATTTTCTGTTTAATCTTTAAACTTAAATCATGTCTTTTTCATCAGAAATCCACGAATGAAATGTTCAAGTCTTCCTTCTATGGACCTTGATCAATGGAAAGAACGAGTTTCTTGTACTGTAGATCATGTGACCATCGATGTAGGAACTGCTGAGAGAATTTCTCCATGTGTAATGTGTACTTGCACTAAAGAAGGGGTAAAAACCTATTTATTTAAAATTTGGTCTGACTAGTAGCCTATTTAAGAAGGTCGCCTGGCATGGCTAGGTTGTTAGGGCGCTCAATTCGCAATCTGCGGGTCGCAGGTTCGAATCCCTGTCACACCAAACATATTCACCCTTTCATCCGTGGGGGCATTATAATGTGATGGCCCATCCCACTATTCGTTGGTTAAAGAGTATCCCGACAGTTGGTAGTGGGCGGTGATGACTAGATACCTTCCCTCTAGTCTTACACCTCTAAATTAGGGACAGCTAGCGCCCGTAGCCCTCGTGTAGCTTTTCGAGAAATTCATAACAAACCACTTAAGAAGGTAGAAAAAATTAACAATTTAATTTACTATTTATCTGTTAAAAGAATATACTAAAGAAAGAGGTCAAAAATCAGTTTACAAGAATCCATTTTAGATTTCTCTTTATCACGTTTATATTTGCTGCAAAAAATGTCAACTAATTGTTCATGCTGTTTTATTATTAGTTTGACTTTGCTAGTATTACATTGTTCGTAGTGCTGTAATCTGATGTAAAATGGGAAAAATTCATGGATATGTTTCAATAACTTTATGTATGGTATTGTTTAACACCAAAATCACTAACTTTTCACATGTATATCAAAATTATCATAAGTTTGAAATTATAAATGTTTGGCTTGAAAATATCTTATAATGATTATGCTTAAGATTTACAAGCTGCTAATCTAGAAGTTTTTAGTTGATATGTTTTATATTTATTATATTTATAATCATTATAAGAACACTAGTTTCTAAAACTCGTAAATATTTTGGCGTATTCCAGACATTACAATTACTTCCTTAATTTCTCACCAGGTAGTGCCACATTCACAAGTGGATATAAAAGTTTCTACTGGGTATTTTATCGGGATGAGTTTTAATAGTAAATGTTGGTGTTTAGTGTGAAAAATTCCTATTTTTATTAGGAATTGGTGAATCTAGTGGTTCTTTACTCTTTGAATGAGTGTTTTATGTTGTTCTTATCTTTACAGCTTAAAATGTTTGGATGAGTGTTTTCGTTGTTTTTATTTTTACAGCTTGAAGTGAATTAGTGTTTTAGTTGTTCTCATGCCTAAAGATTAAATTTTGAGTGAATGTTTTAATTGCTCTTAACTTATGTTAAGAGCTTAAATGTTTGAATGAGTGTTCTTATGCCTAAAGATTAAGTGTTTGAATGTATGTTTTAATTGTTTTATATCTATAGCTTAAATGTTTCAATAAGTGTTTTAGTTTTTGTTTTTTTAATTATAATAAATAATTGAAAACAACTTTTATATTTACACAATAAAAACTTTATTGAAGCCCTACAGCTTCCACATTAAAATATCTCCCTACAAGTACATGTTTCCACGTGATCTACTAGTGTTTTAGTTGTTCTTACATGTACAGCTGAAATGTTTGAATGAGTGTTCTTATTCCTAAAGATTAAGTGTTTGAATGTATGTTTTAATTGTTCTTATATCTACAGCTTAAATGTTTCAATAAGTGTTTTAGTTGTTCTTATATGTACAGCTCAAATGTTTGAATGAATGTTTTAATTGGCTTTATGGTTTTATATTTACATCTAATTATTGAAATGCTTTTATTTTTATGACTACACATTAGTGTGAAGATCAAAATTGTTATTATTGTCCTTAGAACTTGAAATATGAACTGTATACATAATTTTCTGAATAACTCGGTATTTAGTTGAACAGGACTTAAATTTGTATCTAGATTTTAAAATAATGTGTTTTATCTTGTATCTTTGTGCACTATAACTAACCAAATGATTTTTTTTATCTTACCTTTGTAGCCACTCTGTCAATCACTAAGGATAAACAATTGTTTTCACCTTGCCTCCACATTTTCCAAAGAATCTATTCTAGAAGACCATGTGTGTAAAGTTCAGTGTGCTTACGCTTTCCGCACCTTTCCCCAAGTGGACGTTCCCAACAACAACATCCTTGGGTTCAGCAATAACTAAATCTAACCAAGAGTTCTGCTCATACTGCTTGGACTGTAGCCTCTGAATTTTACTCTTGATGTATATAGATCACTTTATCAAATGCATTTGATGTAACTGGACAAAGACTTAGTTTCTGGGGTTTCTGTCTGTTTATTATAAAATGTACCCCTTACTTGTGTTCTTTCACCTGTTACATTGCAGTGTATCAAGTGTTCCCAAATCTCCAGTTCCCAGGGTTTCTTTGTAGTACAGGTAACTGAAAGGTACATCAGAGCAGGTGCTTCATAAACAGTGCTGTTTCAGTTAGAATTTTTTAACATGTTTTAGTCTTCGGAAAATATTACTATGTTAACAAAATACTTTAACAGTTGCAAAACATTTTATTTATGTCTTTTTTTTATCTAGATTTCATAATATTCCCTGCTAATCTGATACTTCATATATTTCCTGTTTCCTTAATGTTTGTAAGATATGTTTTTAATTGGTTTAAATTTCTCCAAATCATCTGTATAAATATTTACTAAAGCTTTTATTTTTCTAAAAGAAGTTAATGTTTTTCTAGCTTTTCGCAAATATTCCCAAAGCAAACTATTTAGAGAGTTATGTTTCCTGTGTAATGTAAAATTGCATTTTTCAAATTAATAAACTGAAGCCCTAATTAATCTAATAGAATTGGTTTATTGATGATTTTAGGAAGATGTAAACAGGTAAATCAGAATAAAAAAGTAATGAAGAAAAAATTATGGTAAATATTGATAACTTGGAGAGAGTAGAAAACAAATATAGTATAGAACATAGGAGGACGTAGAACAGAAAATAAGATTTAAGTTTTGTAGAGAGTATGGGAATATGTAAAATAGAAATTAAAGTTTAATAGGGAGCATGGGAATATGTAGAATAAAACTTCATTAAGTAAAAATCTTGCTGATTTAATTTCGTGAGAGAAAGTGTTGATTATGTGACTTTGTGAGAGAACTACTTGAGAACAACTGACAGTGTATATAAGTCTTCTTTAGGTCAGTATACTTCTTCATGCTCAACTTCAGGCTACAATCATTTCTGCTCTTTCCCTGCAGTTAATTTAAGCACAATCACATAATTTTGTCTCTTGGTCTTCTACAGGTTGCTGGAAACCAGTCATAATGCCATATAGTTTATTTTCTGACAACTTCTGTAAAACAGTACTTTTAATAAAGTAGTATGAACAACTCCCCAACCTTTTATATTTTATTTTTCACTTTCATGATTCTAAGACAAAGAAACAGTTTGTATTCATAGTGATTCCCCATTTTTGTTTTCACTTTCATGATTCTAAGACAAAGAAACAGTTTGTATTCATAGTGATTCCCCATTTTTATTTTTCACTGTCACATTTCTAAGACAAGAAAACATTTTCCATTTGTAGTGATTTCCCTTTTATTATTCATTTTCACTAATCTAGAGCAGAGAAACAATTTTTATTCATAGTTATTCCCCTTTTATTTTTAACTTTCATGATTCTAATGCAAAGAAAGAATTTCCATTCACAATGATATTTTTGTATTTCACTTTCACAGTTCTAAGACAAAGAAACAGTTTCAATTCACAATGATATTTTTGTATTTCACTTTCACAGTTCTCAGTCAAAGAAACACTATACATTCACAGTGATTTTCACATTCAAGTTTTTAAGGCAAACAATTTCCATTCACAGTGTTTCCCCTTTTGTTATTCATTTTCACTATTCTAAAGCAAAGAAACAGTTTCCATTCGTAGTGATTTCCCTTTTATTATTCATTTTCACTAATCTAGAGCAGAGAAACAATTTTTATTCATAGTTATCCCCCTTTTATTTTTAACTTTCATGATTCTAATGCAAAGAAACAGTTTCCATTCACAATGATATTTTTGTATTTCACTTTCACAGTTCTAAGTCAAAGAAACAGTCTCAATTCACAATGATATTTTTGTATTTCAGTTTTACAGTTCTAAGTCAAAGAAACACTTTACATTCACAGTGATTTTCACATTCAAGTTTTTAAGGCAAACAATTTCCATTCACAGTGTTTCCCCTTTTGTTATTCATTTTCACTATTCTAAAGCAAAGAAACAGTTTCCATTCATAATTATTCCTCATTTTTGATTTTCACATTCAGTTTTTTAAGGCAATTTCCATTCACAGTGATTCCTCATTTTGGTTTTTCACTCTCATGTTCCTAAGGGAAAGAAACGGTTTTCATTCATAGTAAGACCACTTTTGTTATCTACTTTCACTATTCTAAGGCAAAGAAACAGTTTACACTCCTAGTGATTATGTGTAAAAAAATCATGTGTGATAGATCATCGTGTATGTTTTCAGTAATAATGGTATTGGTATTTTTTTCTTAGTATTTGTGAAATTGTTCCAGTTTTACAGGAACATAATTTTCTGATTCTAGTTATGCTTTATGGTGGAATTTCGTAATCACGTAAACAAACATTTCATACAATATTGATTCGCAATTGTCTTATTTTAGGAATATTAAAAGTCAGAGTATGAATCCAACAAGAATTTACTCTGATAAAGAAACGACTATAGAAACCTAATTTATAAAAATTAATGACGAATATTTACTAACAAGCTGAAGTACTCGTCTATTGTCCGGGCATCCCATTGGCACAGCGGTTTGTCTGTGAACTTAAAACGTCAGAAACCGGGTTTCGATACCCGTGGTGGGCAGAGCACAAATAACCCGTTGTATAGCTTTGTGCTTAATTACAAACAAACATTTGTCCGGGTTATGAACTTAAAACACTGTGTGTGTGTGTGGATGCTATGATAAATAACACAAAAATCATAACTTTCACACAATTTATATATAACATAACATATTATTACACTACTCATTATTACCTGACCAAAAGTTTTGTATGCGCTTTAAGAACTCAATATGTATATACTTAAAATATGGTATACACTGTGAGATGGTCAAAGTGACTTTGTAGGAAAAGTAGAGGCGGTAGGGGTGGTTTCTGTTACACGCTTTTAACACACAGCTCGTAATGCCCTTTCACAGTGTTTCATGTGTTAATTAATTAATTGACGGTCATTGGTCACAGAAGTATCTTACGAGCCGAAGTTGAAAGGTCACTGGTCAAAGTAGGAAGTGGGTATAACTCAAGATACGACTCTTCATATCAGTTTTATGTTGGCTGTTGGAATAGAAACTTCAGTTGAGTTTATGTAGTATTCCAATAGTGGCAGCCATTTTTTCATTGCAATCCTCCATAGAGAGTGCTAGAGCACGATTTGAGATATATAAGATGTGTGTTTTATAGAAAATTTAAGTTTTTTTGTTTTTGGTGTAAGTACTGGCGCCATCTATGAATGTAGTTAACGTACGTCAAAGATAATGTATGCTGCTGGTGGTGGTGTGTGTGTGTGTGGGGAGGGGGTTCTGAACCCCCTCCGCCATTAATAAGCCCTTTGTTCCAAAATATAATACCACAAAAGTTTGGTTGAGATTGGCTCAGCGACCTAGGAGTAGTTAAATAATGGACAAACAGACAGACACAGATTTTTGTGCTTTATATATAGAGAGAAAGAGAGAGAAATTAGTACCCCACAGACCTGGTAGTCTTTTTGGAATGTTTCTTATAACAACACTTTTAACATTTTCTTGTGATCTGTACAATAGTTTTAAAATACCTTAAACTTAAAGGGAAGAAACATGAATCGACTGTAACAACAAGTATATTCTACTAACTATGAATGATTTATGAAGCAGGATAATTCGTTCTTATACTGGACTTGTTAATACAAGAATATTTTAAACTCCCTTTTGTAATTCACTGTCATCTAGTGGCAGCTTATTGAACTTAATGTTTTCTCAGCAGTGAGGTTATTTGTTGTTTACTAAAGATTTAAAACACTCAAAGCCTAGAAATCACTAACTTTCACAATAATTGAAATTCAATCTTAAGAAGACACACATGTTAGTTATCACGTTAGTAACAGCAGAAAAGATGAGATATTTTGTATTTCAAATTTTAAAATCTAGTTATCATGTTACTTACTATACAATACTATTACAGAATAAAGATCACAGCCTAAATGACGTTTGGAAAATCTGAAAGTATACAGAAACCTTTAGACAACCTAAATGACGTTTGGAAGATCTAAAAGTATATCGAAACGTTTAGACATCCTAAATGATGTCTGGAAGATGTGAAAGTATGCCGAAACGTTCAGACAACCTAAATGACGTTTGGAAAATCTGAAAGTATACCGAAACCCTTAGACAACCTAAATGACGTTTGGAAGATCTGAAAGTATACCGAAACGTTTAGACATCCTAAATGATGTCTGGAAGATGTAAAAGTATACCAAAAAGCTCAAAAAACGCCAGTAATGTTTTGGAAGATATGAAAGCATACTGAAGCGTCTAGAGAACTTCAAAAATGTTTTAGAATATGTGAAAGCATACCAAAAACGTTCAGAGAATCTCATTAGTGTTTTAGAAGAGTGAAAGCATAATGAAATGTTCAGAAAACTTCAATAACGTTTTAGAAGATATGAAAGCACATAAAACATTAAAGATATCTGAATAATATACGCGAACTCAGACCGATAAGTTCCAGATTTCGTCATGAAGGTAATGAGTAATGCGAAATAATAGCGAAACGTTCAAGAACCTAAGCAAAACTCTTATTCACATCAGTAAACTCCCCATTTGAACAAACCATAAACCTATAGCATTCTGCATACAAGTAAAGTCAGCTTATAATATATTCCACCTTTTAGAGTCAGTCACTACAAATATATTAGGTTTTGTACGATACACTTAAGTTTTTATAACACCAAGTCATACATCAGTCAAACTGGTATCATAAAGTCACAGCTCAATCTTCAAACAGTAAACTGGTGCAGCAATAGGTCATAACTCAGTCTTACTAGTTACAGTGGTATTATAACATTAAGTCACAGCTCAGTCTTACTAGTTACAGTGGTATTATACTACCAAGTCAAACTCAGTCTTACTCCAATTACAGTGGTGTTATAACATTAAGCCACTGCTAAGTTTACTACAGTTACAGTGATATTATAACATTAAGCCACTGCTAAGTCTTACTACAGTTACAGTGGTATTTATGACGTTAGTTATGTTTCAACTTGTATATGAGCATTTAGGGTACAGTTCTGATAGTCTTATTATGTCAGAACGTTTCGGCATACTTTCAGATCTTCTAAACGTCATTTAGGATGTCTAAACATTTCGGTATACTTTCATATCTTCCATACATCATTTAGGTTGTCTGAACGTTTCGGTATGCTTTCTTGGAAATCCAGTTACACATGCTCTGGATCTTATATATTTTTCACAAGTGGCCCACTCGATCTTATATCTTTTTTACAAGTGATCACCTTTAGATCTTATAGTCGACTAGTGGGTCTTTACTCGTTGCAGTCGACAATTACAAGTGACCAGTTGTGTTGTTTCAGTACTAGTGTATAGATTTATCTATTGATTCGCCTGTTTTATTTTCTACGTAATCAGCTACCTACTATTATATGACCCTTATCGGTGGCTCAGCTGTACGCCTGAAGGCTTATGACGCTAAAAATAGGGTTTCGATACCGGGGGTGGGCAGAGTATAAATATACCCATCGTGAAGGTTTGACCTTAACAACAAACAAACTATTCCATATTTCCGTAAAAAAATACATTGTGATTATATGGTTTGGTTCTAAGGGCTGTTAAACTGTTATTATCAGAGATGTATCTACGAAGAAGGATTGAAGAAAGATCTTTCATTTCGACATTCTTGTCTGTGTGTATGTGTGTGCTTTTTTCTCTCTCACATTGCTGGCTAAACAACGACAAAACAAAAAACAACAACACAGAAATGTTTAGTGATAAAGAGAAAGAAGTTTTCTTGGAGAAATAACAAACCAATAAGTTTGATTGGAGAACGAATTCAAA